AACGACTACTGAATAAAAAGAAACGAATTTTTTGAAGGGCAAAGCTAACTAACAACGCGGAAAGGTGGTCCGCTTATCATCACGCAGCTGGCGAGTACACTCGCGCATTATCCGTTGCAAAAGAAAATTATTATCAACAAATGCTTCTCTCCCTGCTTGCAACTAACCCTCAGAAGTTTTGGCAGATGATTAGGGGAAATGAAAAAAAAAGGCGGTAGAATTAATCTATGATGATAACAGCCGTGTACCAAAAGAAGAGTGTTGTGTCATTTTAAGCTCTGTGTTTTCATCGTGCTTTGTTAAACCTACAGCACTTTCCTTTCCCGATAGCCCCACCCTCAACTTTGTTCCCACGGAACCCCTTTTATTTGACTGTGTCGGCATACAAAAATTGATAGAAAACATGAACTTAGCCAGTGCTCCAGGTGAAGACGATATCTGTGCAAAGTTTTTGCATAATACCTCTGTTTACTCATCTGTCATCTTGTGTAAGCTTTTCACACAGTCTTTGGAATGTCATTGCCTCCCGGGCGACTGGAAAGCGGGAAAGGTGGTTCCTCTTCACAAATCAGGTGACGTTCATAGCCCCCGCAATTACAGGCCCATATCGTTAACAAGTATACCGTGTAAGCTCATGGAACACGTCATCTACTCCCACATAATCACTTTTTTAGAAAACAACTCGTTCCTTAGTGATCACCAGCATGGATTCCGGAAACAGTTCTCGTGTGAGACCCAACTTCTCTGCTTTACTAATGACCTTTTTCTTGCCATTGAAGCTTCTTCCCTTGTTGACTGTATTTTTCTCGACTTTGCTAAAGCTTTTGACACTGTGTGCCATAAACTGCTACTGCTAAAACTAAGCAAACTTAATCTTCATGCTAACATATTAAAATGGATTGAATGCTTTATAATAGACCGCTCCCAATTTGTAACTGCCAATGAATCCAACTTCCCCTCTCACCCGTAACCTCTGGCGTCCCCCAAGAATCCGTTCTTGGCCCACTACTTTTCCTGATTTACATTAACGATTTGCCATATAACATCTCTTCTTCTATTAAACTTTTCGCCGATGATTGTGTTGTTTACCGCGAAATTAAAACCCCTTCTGACCACCTTGCCCTTCAGTGTGACTTAGACAATGTTTCATCTTGGTGTGATACTTGGCTAATGAACCTTAATGTTACTAAATGCAAGGTAATGAGAGTTTCACGTCGAACATTTAATATTTCTACTAACTACGTACTTAATAATTCTCCCCTTACTAAAGTTAGCTCTTACAAGTACCTTGGCGTTACAATTTCTGACAACCTTTCCTGGCAGTCTCACATTGACCTTATTAGAAACAATGCTAACCGCACACTTCGTTATTTACGCCGTAACTTCTCCCTTGCCCTGATGCAACTGAAACTTCTGCTCTATAAAACATTAGTCTGACCAAAGCTAGAATATTCATCATCTGTATGGGATCCTCACGTAAACATCCATATCAGTAGCATCGAACCAATTCAAAATCGTGCCACTCGTTTCATTTTGTCGAACTATTCCTGTACAGCAAGCGTAACCCATATGAAGTCAACCTTAAATCTACCTAGCCTATCATTACGCCGCAAAATTTCGCGCTTGTGCCTCTTCCACAAGTTGTACCATACCATGCACTCACTGAGTGACTCACTTTTTTGCCGCCATCCTACATTCCATCCCGCAGCGATCACCACTTCAAAGTTGGAATTACAAGCAGCCGTACAAACCTCCATTTTAATTCATTCGTGCCCAAAACAAGCACGGACTGGAATCACCTTCCCGCTTCCATCGCATCCATCACTGACCCGGCCAACTTCAAGAGTACCATAAACGCATACCCTTTTTGAACATGCTCCATTTGTTTGTGCAGATTGTTACTTGTTTTTTCCACCACTCCTCTCTGTAACGCCTTGTGCATTGAGAGAAAATAAATAAATAAATAAATATCGTTTTCTTCAGTGTCACTATCATGCGAAAAGACGTCGCTGCGTGTTTTGCAAACAGCAGCAATGTGTCTCGAGCGGTTGCAGCGATAGCAAATCATAGGTAACCTTTCCCCGAAATGCCTTCTGTCCTGTCATTTTGCGCCCCCTCGCTGGGTTCATTACTCGGTTGTCTACTCTTTGCGGACACGTACCCTTCTTTACCCCGCTTTGCTCGCGGGCCTTCCCTGACGGCGTCACTTTTGTGTCCTTTCTTCTCGCCCCAAACTGCGGGTGCCCTTGACTATGGGCGTTCACGCTCGTTTGGCCTACGCGAGGCGTATTCTTCTGCTAACCTGGCAGCTGCCTAAATGGTCGCAGGGGTTCTATCTGTGATCCAACATTTTCTGGAATCCAGCGCTCCTTTATGAAACTGTTTCAGCCCAATTCACTCAATGACCCGATTATGGTTGCCAAATCTTTCGGAACTTTTGAACTACTCTACCAAGTTGGTTTTCAAATTGTTGGCATAGTCCTAATCTAGATTGTAAGCATAGGCTTTCAGTTGTAGGCATAGGACTTGCCTGTCCTAACCGATGCACTATGAAAACGCTGCCGAAAGGCTTCAGTAGACAAGCGGAATTTTTCTAACAGCTCCTGCTTGACGTTTTTGTAGTCGTTAGCATCTTGGGCATTCAATCGTGCAATGATGTCGGCTGCTTCACATGGAAGCAACGTCAACAAAAGATGAGGCCAGGCAGCACTTGAACAACTCATTTTTTCACGTCTTTTCAAAATTGACCTGAAAGAGTCTTATGTCCTCACCAATTTCGTAGGATTACATCAAATCCTTTATTTTAAAAGCGGCAGAGTTTACTGTGGTGTGTGGCACTTGCTGACCTTCTGGTAAACTGCTCATTAATCTACGGATCTCCAGATGCATGCTCTTCATATCTAGCTCACGATCCTCCGCTTGTTCTTTTTGCTCATTCTCTTCTATCACTGTCTGCTTAATTCCTCCAACCGACTCCCAGCCCTCTCGTAACTCATCTTCGTCAGCGTCTAAAACTTGTATAGCCTGAATGAGCTGAGGCTTTCTGCACAATCCACTTACATCGAGACTTTGCACTTCTTTGCACATTATTATGAGGTCTTACTTATTTATCTTATTCGAGTTCATGATGAAAGCTGCTCTCTGCTGAGAAAATAACCACAATTGCTAGGCAGTTTTAAATTATCGAACTCAGGTCTGCGCCAAGACACTCTATGCACCCCAGAGCAAAGCAAGGCACTCACAGTCCACCATGCAGTCTTGTGTTGCGTTGATCTCACCTAATCCCGAGTCTAAGGTTTTCGGCTGACCTCAGGTCAACGTCGCTTTTCGTCGCCGAGTTTATTCCCACCGCTGCCACCAGTTGTTGACGTGATCCCAAGCGGAGGGTAGCACTGCTAGCACACGCCATACCCAAGGCTCTCCCTGCTTACTCAACTTCCTCTGCAGTTTTCGTCAGCATATATACCCAGGGATGACACGTGCTGCACCACGAATCACAACCCATAGAATACATTACGTGCTCTAGGTATCCTTTCAACTAACGTCACCAAATACGAAGCATGATGCACGCATACCCTAAATCTGGTTGTGAACAATTCAAAAGACTGCGAAAGGAGACGTATCGATCCCAGCTAAAACAACTACAGCATATCCACAGGCTGAATGATGGAGAGTGGGGCGAAAGATCCGTTTGTCCTATCGTTCTTGCTTCCATGCGTCCGTGCGTCCGCCCCTGCGTTCGTCCAAACACCCGCCCCTGCGTCCGTCCATGCGTCCATCCGTCCGTGCAGCCATCCGTGCTTTCGTCCATGCATCTCTCTGTGTGTCCATTCGTCCATCTAGTCAACACTCCAAGTACCACCATCTCGCATCTTTTCATCATATATTCCGCATATAGAAGCGCCGCTATCCAGCGGACATTGCAAGGACTGAACGAGAGGTGGCACACGCACACTTTCTTACGGCTTCCGCTTCGGGTCTACTTCCCCCCTTTAACCCCTCTAGTTCACGGTATATACTAGTTCACTGTATTCATGGCACTGCGGCCCAACGCTCGCTAAAGCTTTCTAAAACCAAGGAGGTTATGCTCAGCGAGTATAACGTAGCAACCATTTCTTGTCAGATAGTGCTCAATGTACACGCCAATGGCTGCTAATAGGGAATGAGAGACAGGAGAATTCGGCATTTAGCTAACGCGCACGCTGCAAATTTTATTGTTCAACAACGCACAGGAGAAATCTGCCACCAGCAACGCCTTGCAGGTCAAAGCGTAAGACTTGTTACGTACTATGACGAGGGACGAACGAGTGCCGCTTTAAGAAGCTTCGCCCCTAAAAGGAAGCGAAAGCAAGATGCCTGATGGAGGCATTTTTCTGGTACACAGAAAAGATACCTGCACAACATAGACACATATAAAGAAACAACTTTTTATACAAAGAATAACAAGGAGCAAAGTATAATCAGGCAAATAAACACCATGAAAGAGCATGCCGTAAAATTTACCGTTAACAAAAACATCATTATCGCAATATGAAGAATAGATAAGGTCAAGAACGCACCAGCAGATATATACGCTTCTGCAGTAAGGAAACAGAAAACAAAAGCAAAAAAACAGAGAGGATTGAAATTATACTCTAAACAATTTGGACACAAATTGTTTAGAACCTGCCACCTATGGGTCATCGAAAACAGCGTAGCCGAAGTATCACAATGGCGGCCGAAGTGAGAGCCACAACTACAGCCAGTCTGCTCACCAAAGGAACAGTGTTTCCCTATTTTACAACCTTGTACAGTAGCGGAGATGCGATATTTATCATAAGTCACTTGCGATATATAATGGTCCAGGAGTTTGTAGTCACTGTGTTGTGCGCAAAGTGAAAGGTAGAGCAGGGCTGTCAATTGTAAGTATTCTTTCACTGACGGCTTCCTTCCTGCTGGGAACGCTTCACAGTTTAACAAAATTTCATCAATAAGGGAGCGCCAGTGCCTTAATGACGTACCTGCGTGCTCATGCGTGCCACCAGAGTCATTTCGAGGTTCCCGTTGAGGCCCAACAGCGGCGGGATGAGCACGAACAGCTCCCGGTATGCCGAGTACACAGGCCAGTCCTGCGCGCAGACGAAGCATTCCCGATCAAGATCAAATTGTTACCAGAAAAATAGAATTTTAAACCAAAATGACCTTTTTTCGGCTCACGTGGGGGTGTTGTCTGCTTCTCCTTCACACCCTTCCCCCTGGAAATTTCACCGGGCTCTGCCCTGGTCATATTTTCTTTTCCAAATGTCATTGCTTGCTATATTGTTATGGTGCAGGCTGATGATTTCTTTTTTCTACCTCACGAAAAATAATGCTACAACATGCGAGGTGACATCGTGATGCCGACAAGGCACCATGGCAGCCTCGTTTATGACAACAAACTGCTGCGCGCAACGCAGTGCACATTATGAGCATCATGTGAGGACAAGTCAAGATGGCATGGCATCATCTATTCCAAAGGGCACCTAAGGCGGCGCGTAACGAAAAGCATATCGTGAAAGCCGCTATGGACGATTACCCCCCTCCCCCCATTTCAACCCCTGCTTTTTGTTTGCAGTTAGGTAAATCTTGATCTAACTCAACAAGTTTTACGGAGTTACTGATGAAACAAAAAAAATTACATTTATAGAACAGGAGCGCAGATTGGACTGGCGTGGAATGCTGCGAAAGAAAAGAATAGAAAACGCGTGGCGCAAGAAGGGGCGTCATGTTCATAACTGTGACGTCAGCTGCATGCGCGCCTGTCTGAGGACAAAGTGAGTGTCTGGCGCTGCAGTTTGACCTCCTTGCGAGCACGGTTGTGCGCACGCCAAGAAGAGATATAAACCATGTTAAGGTCAACCAGCTTTGCCATTCCAAGCTTTACTTCTTTTTTCTTTTGTGCATAGAAGTTTGTGTCATTTTATTGTAATTACTCCTGCTGGGTAAATTAATGCTTTTTTTGAAAGTGATGACACACCGATGAAGTGAAGCCATGCCACAGTCCCCTTTGTTTCTTCACAATCTTTCGTGCCGAACGATTATAAAGAGAAAAATGTCTGCTTTTGACTGCACATACTGTGCACAATCACTTGCTCATGTGCATGGTGGCAACCCGGCCTAGGTTGTGACTTTGTCTACTCAGTGAGCGCGTCGTTTTGGTTTCTCTTCGTACTGCAAAATGTGGATGTTGCACTGGCTGTCTTGAGAGCGAACGTAGACTGTGAAACAAAGTGAATACCTGACTCGTTAAGACAAACATACAGTTATTAATTCCTAGAAAAGAAAAAGAGTACTGATTGTTGTCACCCTTTTAGAGGCCATTGTTTCCTGTAGGAGCGCCCCTGCTCCACTCTATCTCATGCTCACATATCTCACAGCTGTGAAGAAATGGGATCAGTTATACAGCGACAATTAAGATTCTGCCTGTACGGGCAAGGCCAACTCTATTTCAAGTTCTGGCTATCAGCAGTTGTAGCAATGCATGCAACGTTCGTTACATGTATGACCCTAGATAATAGGTGAACAATTTATCTGTGACCATATTACAATTTTGAAGCGGGTATGGCGTCCAAGACATCCCTCTATATCCTCCTGGCCCATTTCCCGCAACAAGACACCACTTCAATATGGCCGCCCACGCACGCGGGTCATGCCGGTAACGGAGGCGGCTCACGCCAGCGCCCGATCATTCACTATCCGGGCACCGGAAGAGCAAAGCTCTGTTTCTACAACGGCACTATTTGCTGTGTGAGCTCGCCTCCTGACATTTCACGACTCTGCAATCACTGCAGCCTCGGCCTTTTAACGTTACTGCCGCTAATGATGAAATTCCCGCGAAGGTGCGAAGTACTATGGCGACAGCTGCAGACTCACACCTTTCCCTGTCTTTATCCTCTTCACCTCACATACCATCTCTTTAGCCGTCCTCCTCCTGTAAGTATTGCTCTGCGAGAAAAGCAAATCTTAATCAAAATATAATGAGGAGCAGTGGGAGGCTGCCTTGCGTAGCTTGAAACCAGATGGCCAAGAGGCTATCCTCGGTTGGACAGAGAGGTTCATCAAGGAGGAACACCGTCTACAACAACCTCTGTTCATCTCTGTTTCATTGCCCTTTCCTTTCAAAAGAAAAAATGGCGTTTTTATCGCCACCACAGAAACTGTCAGCCAGTGCGCTTGCAAGAGCAAGCAAGAGAGGCTCGATAGACTCTCTTTCGTCTTCGTTCGCTCTATTAGTAACGCCGCCTAGTAGCTATGCTCTTAAATGAGAGAGTGAATAATATTGGGTTCAGAAAAACGCGATAAAACGTGCACCAGGCTAATGCCGCGACAAGATTGACAGGTGTAGCCTGCCAGCCCGATCACGAAGGTGCTGGAAGGTCAGCTAGATTTGGTTTTTACGCGTGGAATTCAGAGTGAGTTCCACTTTTCCCTGGTGAACTTCGGGCCTAAGGATCCGCACTCCCAGGGCATAGGGGACAAAGCAGCAGCCTCGTCACAGCCTTCACAAAATGTATTGGGGTAAGTGCATAAATAAATGCTGTTAAGGGTCACGGAATTTGGGAAGGAGTTAGCTTGCATAAGTCTGAGTGTAACCGTCTGTTTAGCTTGAAATGATATACGCTCTAAAATGCTCGAACACGCGGTGATTATTCGTAACGGCTGTTACTTGTTAAGTCCATGACTCAGTGTGTTGGCCATTCTTTCGTTTTTTTTCAGTCTTACCTGACTTTAATTTTCGCACCTCGGGGCTGCTCATCTTAACCATGAGCTATGACTCAGCGATATCTCCCAATCTTCATTTTCAGCCCTCTTGAACAAAGAGAAGAAGTGAGGCCTGATCACTATCTCGTCTTCAATGGTTGCCCTTCTTTTATTGACGTGTTTCGGCTTCACTCACACCTGCTTTTCTTCGCCCTCCAGCATCTCTCTCTCTGAAGAAAAGGGAACGCAAAAAAGAAAAAAATGGGCAGACCACCTTCTCGAAACGATTACCACCGGACCAAGAGACAGGTGGGTAGATAATACTGTCACAAAAGAAATTTGCGAACCCCCTTTAAGTTCCTCATGTTTGCGTGAAGAGAGATTCGGTCGGTATCGCACGGTCTTCCTTCACCAAGGAAGGTAAATGCAGCGAATCGGTAAACGAGTTTCGCGATTTTCATTAGAGCGAGAACAAAGTTCTCTTCTCCCCAGTAGCCAGTAGCTGGGCGAAAAAGTGGAAACGCGAAACACCAGTGTCACCAAGTGTAAATGTTTTATATAATAAATCTTATTTCACTGCATAATCCATTAACAAAGACTATTCAATGAGAATGAATACCTGTATAAGTGCCCTTTCTTTCTGCGCTGTGCCTTACGGAAAACCATAATGCTAACATGTGAAGGAGCATTGACGCAAAACTTTTGCGTTTTACGTTTTGTTTTGCAGTAGGTAGCCAATGACCCACTTATAACGGCTTGAATCCTTGTATGCCTGAGTGCACTTCGGTTATTTAAAGTTCTTAGAGCGCCCAATTTAGGTTTCAAAAAGCACCGAGCTATAAGCAGTAGCAGTTCTAAAGCAAAGTAAACATAGGTGGCCACGTGAGCACGCAAAACTGTGGCATGGGCGCCGCGCGCGAGAGTGTGCGCGAGTGCGTACCACACTGACAGCCATACAGAAACGCGAAGTCGCAGGCAAGAAATTTGATGTAAATTTTAAGTATCTAGGCAATATCAGTTCCTGATATCTCGTAGATGCTATGCGTCTCTCGAGCTAAATGTATCTCCCTCGTCGTCTAGCGTTCGAAATTGTGTGTCAGTGCTCCGTTAATTAAGCTTGTGTATTAGAATACGTGTGTACTGTTGTATTGACGTGTGGGCATTCACTTCATTTCTTACGTTGGATTCCAATGGTCAGAGCAAGCTTTTCTGCTCCTTCTAGAGCAAGTATCTTCCAGTGGCAGGGTGAGGGAGAGAGTCATGTTTCCCAGTGAGAGTCGGAGTGGATTCAGAACGAGAGTGACTGCGAGCACCAGCAAAAGTTGCTCCGTCGAAATCACAGGAGTGGACCAGACCTCGGTGGGGCGCTTTTGGTGGCGCCGCCACTCTTGCGTCTTTTGCGACAGGTCTGAATCAAAACGTCAATTCTTGCACGAGCAGTTCATCCAATATATAGTGTCACCGACACGGAACGCGCTACTACTTACGAGCATTAATCCATAGAACATAATTTTACAACGGAATGAACGAAGCGACATGCCAACACGCAAGATATTAAGGGCAACTTAAGAACTTCCGCTTCATCCTTGCTTGTGTTCTTGCTCCGGTAGTGCGTATTCTGTTCTAAAGTCGTGGATTCAGAGGCACAGCTCTACACCAGAGTCAAGCGCTCACTCACCATCGGCTGCTCTAACTCTACCACTGGAATTCGACATTAGCGCATCGCTCTTTATTCAACAATACCGAAAGCTAGAGCAGGAGGTGACGTGTCTTCTTCTTGACCCATGGCAGTGAACTACAGTGGGATGGGCTTCATGAACTGAACGGGACGCCTGTGCTCATCTCATATTACACTCTAAGGCAAAATTACCCGAAAAGAAGTAACGGAGCCCAATAGGCGCGCGCGATGAAAGTATAGACCGTTGAGGAGGAACCACAGAGGGAAGCGTGCCGCGTGCCAACAACTTGGTCTCCAATCACGCTCCAAAGAGATGAACCACCCGGGAAATGCAGGCAGCGCACAAAGTGTTGCCAAGGTTGCTAGCCGTCCTCCTCCTCTCCTGGCTCAGTCTTTCCCCGTATTTTGCTGGCAATGGTTCGCGTTGCGTCGCGTTCGGAGTGCTCGACCACGGCCGCCTGGACTCGACGATCTAGGAATTACGTGGTGCTTGGGTTTTCGCTTGGATGAGCTGGATGAGCGAGGGCTGCTGCTTTTACGTTTTGCTGCACCCATAAAGTCTGGAACAAGTCTCGACATGTCATCACGCCTCGCTGTATATCTTTGGCTTCAAGATAGTCACGACCAACACACGACAGCAACAGATGAGAAGGCCAACACGGCTGCCGAGAAGACAGCAGGGCTATCGCATATATACTTCAGTCCAACTCA